CTGAGTTTTCAGATCTTCCCATTTTTCAAGAAAGCCACTTTATCTGAATTTATTAAATTTCTGAAATTTAAAATTTTGGGATATATATTACTGCTTTTGTAAAACTCATTTTAGATTAGCAATTGAATGCAGGCTGAATGTGATCTAGGATTACTTGCCCAAAGTCATTAGGTCATTGCTCAACCTGCCACTCTGTGTACATAAGGAGTAAACCTGGGCCCAGAAAGTGGGGATGTAAACAGAAACCCACACCAGTCCCATTGCAGGAAACACCCTTAGAGGAAGCTTTGAAATATTGGCTCATCAGAGGGAGTTGGACTGCCTAGGTTTTGCTAGTTTCATCAGAAACCTAGGGAGAGTGTGGATTTCAGAATTGCAGTGGAGTAGAAGCTAGATCTGTGTATGTTTTTTATGCCAGAGTTCCATAATCCTATAGTTCAAAGAGGTCAGTGGGGTACCAGTGACCTCTCAGCCCTCAGGGGACTGAGGTGTTCTTGTGGTCCAGATGTCCCTTAGTCGACCACTTCTGGGCATAAGTCTCTTCTCCCTTCAGTTTGATCCTATGTTGCAGATATTATATAGAGAGGTGGGCAAAAGTAGGTTAATGATAATAATAATAATACAAGAATAAACTGTTTTGTGTACTTACAGTTGTAAACCTACTTTTGCTCACCCTTATATTTTTTAAAATGTGTGCCATGAAGTTAAAACAGTTGGAAAGCACTACTGTCATCTGTTTCTTATCCTATCTAATAAAAGAGAAACATGGTAATTAGCGTACGACCGCTACCCTTCCCATTGGCTAATCAGGGCAATATGCAAAATCAACCCAGGAAAGGATGTAGACAAGTTACTTATTACCTAGTAACTTGAAGCACCACGGTTGCCAAACTCCATTTATTGAACGATCTAGATTAGCAGTTACACTTCTGGGGCCAGGAAGGTAAGAAAAATAGAAACGCTACCCACACACATAAGGGGGTGGGAGAGAAAAGTATTGACATTTGATGGATGATTATTAGGTGCTAGCCACTGTTTTAAGCATTTTTTAACACACAAAAATAATGTCTTTAAAGATGAGAAACCAAGATTTTGAGAGGTTAAGTTCATGAATATGATGAACTGCCCCCCAGCTGTGATCAGAGAACCAGGCGCCTTTGCTGCCCTGGCCAGTGACAGCGGGAAGCAGAGGGGGAGCCAGCAATGGGAGCTGGGCAGGAACGGAGCCGGCAGTCCGGGGAGCTAGGGATCCCTTGCCCAGGCCTAAAGCCTTGGCCAAAGACGTTAGGCCTGGGCAGGGGTGGAGCCTGCAATTGTGGGGAGCTGGGGGTCCCCTACACAGACCTAACGCCTTGGCCAGAGGCGTTAGGCCTGGGCAGGGGCGGAACCAGCCATTGCGGGGAGCAGGCGTTTTTTTTCTATTCTGGGCCAGCTTTAGCTCTGAGGCCTCGCTGCTGAAAACATTGATACAATGTTGCGGTCCGGCTGGCTGAAGCCCGGCTGAATAAAGCAGGTTTCTAGGGTTTTGTTTAGCTTCTATATTTGTTACATAGTTGCTTAGAGTTGCAGCTGAGAGGCCGGCAAGTCAGGCGGGGAACGTTGGAGTCCGCCATCACTGGAGCAAGCAAGCCTCCCTGTTCGCTTCAGTGCATGGCTGCCGGCCGCCATCTTGGCTGACAGTTAATTTGCATAAGGATATGCTGATTAGCCAATGGGAAGGGTAGCTGTCGTACGCTAATTACCATGTTTCTCTTTTATTAGTGTAGATTGCCCTAACTTACCATCATGCTTTTTCTTTTTGATGAATGGGATCTACATCTTTAGATAGATCTTTTAATTTAATTTGTCTGTTCTTTTGTTCATCTGGATGGTAAAATATCCTCCTCCTACTTCTCCCCCTCTCCCTTATTTATAGATATTTTCATTAAAAACAAATAATTACATTTCATTCATTCATTCATTCACTCATTCATTCCAGTTCTCTTCCTGACTTCCCTCAGTCCTGGGCTAATCAGGATGGTTGATTCCCCTGGGCCTTGCTAACAGGTAGAGCTGTTGTCACGGACAATAAAAAATTCTTCAAATGGATAAGTAGGTTTGGAGAAGTTGGGGGAGGGTTACACACAAAATAATTTCAAGTTTTTACTGGATAGATATCAGAACATCTGCTGGAATGGGATCTACATCTTTAGATAGATCTTTTAATTTAATTTGTCTGTTCTTTTGTTCATCTGGATGGTAAAATATCCTCCTCCTACTTCTCCCCCCTCTCCCTTATTTATAGATATTTTCATTAAAAACAAATAATTACATTTCATTCATTCATTCATTCACTCATTCATTCCAGTTCTCTTCCTGACTTCCCTCAGTCCTGGGCTAATCAGGATGGTTGATTCCCCTGGGCCTTGCTAACAGGTAGAGCTGTTGTCACGGACAATAAAAACTTCTTCAAATGGATAAGTAGGTTTAGAGAAGTTGGGGGAGGGTTACACACAAAATAACTTCAAGTTTTTACTGGATAGATATCAGAACATCTGCTGAGAGGAAAGTGAGCAAATGATAGAGGAATTTTCACCTGTTGAGCTCTAGTCCCCTCATAACTTTCTTCTAAAACAACCTGACACCAGGTGATGTGAGGGGCATCTGTGCTTTGTATGGATGTAATCTGTCATTTCTTGGAGAGTGCAAATGAATACAAATAACTACAAGAGTGGAGTGATCATTCAGTTGACCCTTGAACAATGTGGAGGTTGGAAGCACTTATCCCCCATGCAGTAAAAAAAACCCACATATAACTTTTTATTTTTAAATACTTTACTAATAGCTGCTGTGATTGGAAACCTTCCTGATAATATAAAGTTGATTAACACATATTTTGTATGTTATATGTATTATATACTGTATTTTTACAATAAAGTAAGCTAGAGAAAAGATAATGTTAAGAAAATCATAAAGAAAATACATTTAAAGTAATGTATATATTTGCTGCAAAATTAATGTATAAGTGTACCCACACAGTCAAACCTATGTTGTTCAAGGACCAACTGTGTACTTATTTCTCAGAAATAAAAGGCAAATTCAAAAGATGTACTCTACTAAGATGAAGTATCATTGAGATCTCTAGAGACACCTGTCCCTGTAGCTGCCATTCCTTCATAACTACTTGCCCTCAACCGGCTGCTCTGCTCCTGCTCCCTGCCCCCCACATCCTATGTACCACACTTAGCTTGAGTAGTAGTTACTCATTCAAAAGTGGGGGGCATGTGAACTTTGACCCTCAAAGACCCACTGTCGGCTGTGAGAGGAGCCAGAAAGAGGACAAGTGAAAGTTGGCATGATCTTGGACAGGCTCTTAACCTTCCCATGACCCTGGGCCTCCACCTACAAAATGAGGGGTGGATGAACTATGCGAGCCCCTAAAGTCTCTCATGTGTTTTAAAATTCTAGAACTTTCTGAGGGATTATAAGGAGAGAGAAGCAGTTGTGAGAAATGCTCACCAGTCTGAATTCAAATAATAGACTCAGAGACAGAAGTATGGAGATGACCCTCAAAGACCCACTGTCGGCTGTGAGAGGAGCCAGAAAGAGGACAAGTGAAAGTTGGCATGATCTTGGACAGGCTCTTAACCTTCCCATGACCCTGGACCTCCACCTACAAAATGAGGGGTGGATGAACTATGTGAGCCCCTAAAGTCTCTCATGTGTTTTAGAATTCTAGAACTTTCTGAGGGATTATAAGGAGAGAGAAGCAGTTGTGAGAAATACTCACCAGTCTGAATTCAAATAATAGACTCAGAGACAGAAGTATGGAGAAAATGAGACTTGTAGTATGAGAGTGGGTGTCCGATTGTACAGGCACACCTGGGGCAGCGATCACAGCCTATTTGTCTAGTCCCTCCTCCAGTTCCTCATTGGCTGAGTACTATGGGGTTACCTGTTTCCTCATACATTGTCTTATTGTCTCCTATTGGGCCATTTAAAAAAAATTGGACTGAGGTCTTTTCTAGTTGTCTTCACCTCCCACTGTCTAGTTGAGGCAGGAGCTCGGGGGTTTCCACTGTGCTGCTGGCCCATATCTACAGTTCTTTGTTCTTAAATCCTCTTCCCTCCTCCCTACATTCTATTTGTCCTGGGGAAACTCAGTAACCATTTCCATTAAAAGTTAACTCTACTGGAGATGGGCCACAGAGGCCTATTTCCTGCACAGTTACAAACACACAAACATACAAACATGTTAGAAGTCTTTGGTATGTGAAGCCAAGGGAACAGGCCAGGGATCCCTGCAAATTTAGGATTATGACCAGGATGGCCAAGCACTAGAAGGCTGGGAACCAGGCAGCACTCTGAGAGTGTTCAAAGAAGTCTCACTCCCCATAGCAGAAGCAAACTTCTCATTGTAAATCTTTACAATTTAGACAGTAGTCTCATATCGAACAATGACTTGCGGTTGAGAAGCATTTGAACATAATAGTGTTTCATTTTCTCCTCACACAATCTTGGGAGGCAGACAGCAGAGCTTCTATTGTTTCCATTTTATAGATGAGGGAACTGGGTTTCCCAGTGATTAAGATCACAGAGCCAGGTCTTGGACCTGGTTCTCGTGAATCTTTGTACCCTCTAAAAGAGAATGGGGGTCAGTGGAGTCTTATCACTGAGCAGCCGTTTCAGAAGTGGGAGCCCTGGGCATGGAGCATTAGGAACCATGAAACACACTGTCCCCTCACCCGGCTGGAGCAGAGGCCTGTGGTTGTGAATGCCATGGCCAGTCTGCTCTGGAGAGGGCTTTTCTTAGAAACACCAAGGAGACTTGAGGGTCACTGAGCACTTTGTGCACTACCCTCTCCTGGGGCGGTGTCCTTGAAGTTCCACTTCCAGTCAGATCACTGGTGGAGTCCCTCTTCCTAAATGTTCCAGTGACAAAGCTTTGTCTGGGAGGCTGTGGGACTGAGATGATCTAGGAGTCTGCGAGGACTCAGGATTCTCTGTTATGTGCTGTTATGTAAAGCTGGAGACTATTATATCACTTTTTTTTTGTTTTGTTAATCCTCACCTGAGGATATTTTTTTCCATTGATTTTTAGAGAGAGAGTGACAGGGAGAGAAACAGGTCCCGACCCAGGCCAGGGATCAAGCTGAGACTGCAACCCAGGTATGTGCCCTTGACTGGGAATTGAACCTGAGACCCTTCAGTCCGCAAGCTGATGCTCTAATCACCGAGCAACACCGGCCAGGGCTATTGTATCTTTTGACTCTCTTTAGATTTTTTTGTCCATTATAAAGTACAAGAGGCCCGGTGCATGAAAATTCATGCACACTGGGGGTCCCTCAGCCCTGCCTGCACCCTCTCACAGTCTGGGACCCTTGGGGGATGCCCACCTGCTGGCTTAGGCCTGCTCCCCGAGAACAGATGATCTAAAAGAAATAATCATATCCTTGGGTAAGGATTTCTTAAAAAGATAATGGTCGTGTGAAAATTCACTGCCGGCGGGGCTGAGGGGACTGGGGGACTTCAGTGGCAGGTGTTCGGTGTGACCGGGCACCCCTGGGGGCAGGCCTGGCTGCACGCCTGCCGCCCCCTCTCTCCCCACCCCCCCGGCGGGGCTGAGGGGACTAAGAGCTGCCATCTTGTAAGGGTGTGATGGTCAATTAGCATATTACCTCTTTATTATATAGGATTATAGACCCTTAATGTATTCTGGTACATCTGAATGTAATTAGGAGCTTTTTTCTCCCTGACATGGATGAGGTTTTACTGTTTCTGGCCAGGTCAGACAAGGATGTTTGAAGACAGATTTCTGAATTGTGGGCCAATTTCTCTGATCTTTTAAACCCAGGGCCTCTGCTCTGAGAGGTGATTTACGACTTTGTCATGCTGTCTTCCACCACTCTGGTTGCTGGGAATATGTGGGACCTCTCAGAAGCAAATGCTCCCAGGAGTCAAGATTGCCCCTGCAACCTCACCGGGATCCTCATGGGGTTCAGAGGATTATTTCATTTTCAGTACTCTGAGGGTTGTGTTGGGATCACTCTGGACTGACTTAATCATGCTCAATGTGGGAGGGTTGGAGGTGGGATTAAGTCTTCCGGACTGTGATCCATTTCTGATGTGTGTGACCTGTTTAGCTCCAGAGGCATTGTGGATGCCATGTTTTATTTCCTGACAAGACTAAGACCAGAAGCTCATGTACTATTTTGTCCTGTAGCTTCTTGGCTTAGCAACACCTCACCCTTGGAGCTGAAGCTGCCTAAAGAATAAGAGAAGTTCAGGAGCACTGACAACTGTTTCCAAATGCACATCCCATGTCGTCTGCTACTCCCGGGTATGCTGGCCACATCACCTGCACCTGGGTTACACAGGCCCACACTTTGTAGTAACCTCCCAGGTGCTTACCCCAGTTAACACTTAAAATGTAAACGTCAAGTCCGGGGACACATTGCCTTTGTGGTGAATGTCATAATCAGGAGATTACACTTCTCTTTAGATCTTGGAGTTTACTCCATTTAAGGAATAGAGTTTGGGAAGCAGTGGTGATGGGATGACAACCTCTATCTATCTATCTATTCATTCATTCATTCATTCATTCATTCATATCTCAGTCCAGTGTTCTGTTACCTAGTTACTGAGTGTCCAGTGTCTGCCATGTGCTAAGCTGGGTACTGGGCATTCGGTAGTAAACATAGAAGACATGGTCTCAAAGAGGGGATTCTGTTTCAATAGAGCATCCCAAAGAACTTCATCTGCTTTTGCTTCAGGTGTGTTACTTACTGCCATGAGCCTGTAGGTGTTTAGGGGCCTCATTAAGTTTGGGAAGCTCTGGTTCCTTTCTTCTTCTTTGGAGACTGGCCCTGGTTTGGCCTGGAATGAGGAGCTGGGCCCTCAAAGCGCACTGTCAGCACCCTCCAGATGAGTACTACACATGGGGAGGGCCCAGGGCGTGGGGCTCTCTAAAGGCTGTGTCATTCCCGGCTCCAGCCGCAGAGGTTACATCACAGAGGGAAGCTGAGCACGTTGCTAGGCTGTGGCTATTTATTTTTATAAATGAGATGTGCTTAATTTAGAAATCTGCTTTTGCTTTTGCTTTCTTTTTTTCCAGCATCATCTGGCTGTCTGGCACAACCAAAGATTTGCATTTCTGACCCAACAAGAGTTCGTGGGTGGATGGGGGCAGGAAGGAGGTTGGGGAGAGGACTGATGCCAGTCCGGTGTCTCACAGGGTGGTGGAAACACATGGCCGTGCCATGAGCATCCTTCTCAGCTTCTGCACCAGTTTCATCTGAAACACCTACATAGTCCTCACTTGGAACAAGATGAAAAGTGGCCTTGGTGGCTAGCTCCTCTTCTGATTAACCACATACCAGAATACAGCAGAACAGAAGGCAAGGTCAAGTGATAAAGGACCAAAGTCAGGTGCCAGAAGCAGGTGACATCTAGATTCTCAGTTCATTGGATGCAGCTATTTTAATAGAGTCACTTTAGTGCAGCTATTTTGTCATGAGGATATTTTGATTTGGCCTGAAAAAAATTCAGCCAATACTAGTAAATGTTCAGCTTTTAAAAAATAAATGATGAGTAAAATGGCCATTTTATACTCCATCTTTGAGCTTTACCACAGCCCCTATCTTCACCCTATTGCCAGTCCTACCCCTGGGCATCAAGGTGCATGGATTGTGGTCAGGTAAGGGGAAGGTGAAGTAGAGGCTCAAAATGGGAGAGATATCAGGATTGTGTAATAGCCAATAATAGATCAAATGTCAAGAATAAAGTGACTGTCAGAACTGGGAGTGGGTACAGACTAGAGCAGTGATGGCAAACCTATGACACGCGTGTCAGAGGTGACACGCGAACTCATTTTTTTGGTTGATTTTTCTTTGTTAAATGGCATTTAAATATATAAAATAAATATCAAAAATATAAGTCTTTGTTTTACTATGGTTGCAAATATCAAAAAATTTCTATATGTGACACAGCACCAGAGTTAAGTTAGGGTTTTTCAAAATGCTTACACTCCGAGCTCAAAAGGTTCGCCATCACTGGACTAGAGGAAGGTTGAGAGGCCTCTAAAGTCAACAAAAGGACCAATGAAATGGCAAGAGTGATGGAGCAAAAGTCAGAGATGGAATGAAGGGAGGAAAATTGGTTATTAAACATAAAATTCAGTGAGTTTGCATTTTGGAAAATAGTCTGCTTAAAATTCAGAATAGCTCATTTTGGCTCTACCATGGACAGTGTGTGACTCATAAGTATCTACACATTTTGTCTTAGGGCTTGTTTGAGCCTCACTTTCCTCATATCACATGCAGACAATTATGTGTAGCCTTCCTCTTTCCACAGCAAGTGCTGTATGATGAGGACTGAGCCAGCGGCTTATAAACTGCCTCGAGTCAGCCGGAGAAAGGCGCTTGCATAAGCAGCGGGTATTAGTGGAGATGAGTGTTCCATGAGTCAAGGATTTCAAGTCGGGCTGCCGCTGCCTGGTGATTGGTTTAGACAACGTGATGCCTTTAGCTGGGGTGTATGCTGTTTGTGATGGATTTGTTTTTGTCACAGGAGAGAATTTCATCTTTGCTCAAATGCTACTGACTTGAGGACTCTGCACATCAGCACTAGGAGATTAGATGTGAAAAGAGTGGAAAGGCGTTTCTGCCTGCCATCTAGAGTTTTAGCACAAGGAACTATGGTGGCATGCTCATGGCTCATCATGGACTTCCCCCTGCCAGCAAAGACATTCTTCCAAATTCTTCTGACATTTGTCCAACTTGCCAAAGCCCCCCAGAGGCAGTTCCGGTGTAATTGAAGATAAGGGAAGAGAAGGCTCTCCCTGCCTGGTTTCACTACTTTCTGTGTGGATCCTTTGAGTCACAAGATGAATCCTCACTGATGTGTTCATGGAACGTCCTTCCAGAATTGGTGCACAAGTCAGCAGGAGCTGGGGGCTCAGCTTCCAGAAGCCTGGCCTGGGGCCACCATGGCTGGGCAGGCACCTGCCTCTGAGCCCTTAGTGCGGAGGTGAAGGGCCTAGGCATGTCTGTAGCCACACATCCGAGGGCCTGCGAAGCTGGACCAGCTCCTGTGGGACAGTTAATCTTTGTTCCTGCCACCAACGTGCTTTCTTTGTTGTTTCCCACGTGTCCCCGCCTTCAGCTCTCTGATGGATCCTTCCTCAGGCATGGGGTTTTGATTGATTCCCTCCTCACGTGTGGGTCCCAGTGCCAAGAACAACTCTGTTCCGGCAGGAGGGTATTATCTGGCTTAAAAGAAAGAATGAGCGGTGGCTTCTCTCCACTAGCATTCTCCGGATTTACACGGGAATTTATTCTGGGAACTGTTTAGTCTCTTTCCAGTCTCTCCCCCACCACCAACGTTTGTCACAGCGTCGGTTTGCTTTCATTGTTTTTAACTGGATGATGATAGAGCTTTTCTCTCGGAGCCTGGGCTAAGGGCTCGGCATCCCCTTCCCGCACCATCACTCCCCAAGGACCTGGCTGGGCCACAGTGAATAATACAATGGGTATTACCATTTTTACAGACTCGAGCATTATATTATCAACAGTATCCGATTGTGCAATAAACCCTGCATTCTTTTCCAGGATTATTAATGTTTCCAACCCTAGGGCATCGAGTTCACCCTTTCGGGCAGCCTCCCTGGGTGACCCATGCCCGCTCTGCAGTTTAGCTGTAGGGCTGGGTCCAACTGACAGTTGCTTCTCTGTTGACATCACAGAGGCATTCTCACTGGCCCCTATTCATGTTTTGAGGGGGGTTGCATTGCTCCATCCGCCACTTTGTATAGAGATTTAGGAATTTTCTAAATGAAGACACAGGAGGGGCCGGGCACCACACAGGCAGCAAGCGGCCCTGCTCGCTTGTCCTCAGAGGTCCGTCTGTGTGCCCCCTGGGAGGGACCTGGTCCTAGACTTGTTCTTCCTGGACAACTGCTGAGGTTCCTCCAGACCAGATTATACTCTGCCCTCCCAGGACAGAGTGCTGCACTTGGGAGTGAGGGCAAGAAAGGCCTTGAGAGGTCAGCCAGAAAGACCCCGACCCATAGGCCCAGGCTGAGCAACGAGCATCTCTTACCTTTGAATCACTCCTAAGAGACCCACCACTCTCTTGGAGGTCAATAGGGCATGTATTCCTCTGATTTTCCCAATGGGGAAACTAGATCCTGAAAGTTTAGTTAATGTCCTTACAGTCAACTAAGTAAATTACTGGTGGACTAGAGATGAGAAAGCTCAAGTTCCTGACATTGGCTCCAGTTTCTTCCATGACACCACGCTGCACTTCAGCTGGGCTGATGTGAAACAGTGAAGGCGAGTCCTAGTCCTCCCAGCTGGCGGGAGTGGGACCCTGGCATGGGTTTGCGTTGGAGAGGCTGGGGCCTGGGAGGCTGTAGTGCTGTTTCTACTTGCTTGTATGGCGAGGCAAGGCTGTGTAGCTCAGCAGGGCTGAGCTAGGTGTCTTTACAAACGATGCCTAGTTGAAGTAAGCCTGGTGTTTTCTTGGTGTTCTGTCTTCTGTTTTGCCAACCACATGGATTCTGAGAAGGTACAGCCTCATCCACTCCTCACTACCTTTCAGGCCCGGCAAGCAGCACCGTGAACGCTCAGTCACTGGGCAGGCCTGGGTCGGCCGCTCCCTACCTTCCTCTTATTGCAGCTGCAGGAGAATGTCTGGGGCCTGGGAAGGAAGAGGCAGAGCTCCCCGGGGTGGGAACAGGTTCCCAGATGCCACTCTCCCATCAGTGCTCCTGAGTTCCAGCAGACAGCAGGCTGGACTTGCAACTGAGCAGACACATGAAAGCAAACGTGCGCTTGTAGCATTTCATAACCTGCCTCCCACAAAACAGAAGGCGCTCTTATCCTCACGTTATTCCCTGCCTCGTTCTTGACATTTTTATTGTGCTGAGTCTACAGCCGACTTTGCATTCCTGACACCTCCCACTTGCACTGGCTCCTGGTCCCTGAGAATCCCAGTCACGTGCTATAACCCAGAGAACATTCTTGGTTCCCTTTCTGGGCAGGACACACTCCTCCTCACCTTGACATTTAGGATCTGCTGCTTCTTTTTCTTTTCTGCTCCAATAAATCTGGGCCAGTCAAGAATCACTGCCTCCGAGGCAGGGTTTGGGGAAACGGATGCTGGGATAAGGGGGCTTTTCTGCGTGTGTTGGGTGGAAAGCAAGCATTGCCTTTCTGCTCCTGTTTCCTGGCTTTGCAATAGTGTGAAACCCTCCGCCGAAAGCCCAGACTCCATTTCCAGACCCTCGTCCGACCTGCACACAGCTGATTGTATCTTTGAAGTGCTTCTGCTTAAACCTTGTTTATGACCCAGGCTCAGCTGCTGGTTGACCTCCTGGGCTCTGATGTAGAATAGAGTTGTCAATACCCAAGGAACACAGTCTGGGCCAGTCCTGTCCTCCCCTCCCCCATGTCACATTCTGGAGTTTGGTTTGTTCCAGCCTAGGAGCAAAGGGAGTAACGGTTTTTAGTGCTAAGTTTTACCAGCTAAGCAATGCTTAAGGTATGTATCTATGGGTGATAAAGTCATCAGAAAGAGGGAAAGAGGAAAGGAAGGGGAAAGTAACAAGTGGGGGAGGGAAAGAAGGAAAAGGAGGGAAATGAGTCCACAAAGCGATAGTAATGCAGAGAGATGGCTGGGTGCCCCCTGCGTCCTTTGAGTGGCACCGATGCCATCTGTCACCCATCACTGTTTCAAAGGGAGCACGGGGGCTGGTGAACGCAAGCGCTTGCTTCAGAGAAAACACACCTCAGTTTTAGAACTAGATTGCCTCCCATAGTCCCCTGGAATGGGAATGGGCGTGACCCTACTTACTCAACAGTGAGGTCTTAACCAAAGGATTTTAAAATGCTTTGTAAAATAAGTACATCACTTGTGTAAATATAAGATGGTATTTCTCTCCTACTCACCCTAAGTGTTGAACACACAGTGTTAGTACAACCCCCCAGAGTTAATTTTAAGACCCTGGCTTAAAGTATTCTTAAGAAAGAGACCATGACACTTGGGTTGAGTATATTGCCTGGCACATAGTAGGTGCTTAATAAACATCTGAAATTGAATTACTGACTGAGTAAATGTAGAGCAATATAGAGAAGAATATTTTAATAAGAAGATACCTGAATATTCAACATTGATTACTTTTTATTTATTTAATTTTTAATCTTTATTGTTGAGAGTATTACAGATATCCCCTCTTTTTTCCCCCATTTCCCCCCATCTACGTGGTTACTGCCTCCCCAGACCTTCACCACCCTATTGTCTGTGTCCATGGGTTATGCATAATGCATACAAGTTCTTTGGTTAATCTCTTCCTGCCCCCTCCCCCCTTCCCTCTGACATTGGTCAGTCTGTTCCATGTTTCCATGCCTCTGGTTCTATTTTATTCATCATTTTATTTTGTTCATTAGATTCCA